GCACCTCCACAACCCCTGGATGGATGGATGGATGTATAGTTTGGACAAAATTTAAATTTCATAGGCAACATAGATAAAACTGAGCCTCAGTCACTATAATTTTGAGAAATGTTGTTCCATACTTTTATTGCTACATGTGTCCCATTGACAATACAACAGAGACCTGTAGTAGTCCAGCATGACACGATTGGGCGTCTCATTGTTGCACAGACAGACGTGATGGTAGAGCTGGGCAAGCTCCTCACTCAGTGTCACCAGCTCATCCTGAGCCGCGTTCAATGCCCCCTGGCTCTCACTGGCTGCTGACTGACATGCCTGCAACTCCATCTCCAGGCTAGAAATCTGAGACAAGAGGAAAGAATAAGAAATCATTCATTACCGATAGACAGATAGACTCAGCATAGCATGGTTACCTTCTTCCGTCCCTCCTGGCAGCTCTTCTCCAGTGAGGCAACCTGGCTCTCCAGCTTCTGGAGCTGACCTTTGTGCCTTGGCTTCATCTCCGCTGCTCCATCTCCACACTGACTGAGCCTCTCACGGAGGGCTTTAACCTCTACCTTTAGCTCCACCACCTCTGTCACAGCCACACGGTACTTGCACTGAAGGATTTCTAGGCCTGGTGTTTGGTATGAAAATACCTGACTTTTGTTCAGTGTCTCACTCATATCCTCCTCACTTCCTCCTTCATCTTCAGCCTCCTTCTCATCTTGGTCCAGGTCCATCAGTGCCTCGGTGTTGAGCTGAGAGGTGAAGCTGCTGTGAGCTTCCTGGTTCAGGTGGGCCCTACGATGCAGGCGGCGGAGGACAGAGACTTTCCGGCTAAGGCGGAGGACCTTTTCATGCTGCTCGGTCAGGGCCCCCTGGGTGTGTTCGAGCTGAGTCTGGGACTCCTGCAGGCTGGCCATCAGTGCTACTTTCTCATGTTCAACCTGAAAGGTGCAGTAGCAAGTTTATGGAAAAGCACAGTATGTACTGTATAAGCTCAGATGTTTTGAATATCTTTAAATAGCTTTTATGTACAGGCTCAAACCATTTAACACATCAAATTTAGACTTGGGGCTCTATTTTCCTGCAATAGGGTGCAGTGCTAAATTTGTATTAAATCTCCAGGCGCAAAGTGAATATGGGTGTGTTCAATAATGTTTTGCCATTTTGGTGACCACAGATGCAGTGCACTTCCATGGGCAGCCAGGTGCTATGGGGTACACCGTGGAGGAGAGGTGGAACACATTATTAGAGGGAGGAATACACTGTGAGCAGGTGGAGTCAGGTCTGACTTAATTATGTCCAATCAAACCAGCTCCTCTCATCCCCTCTAAAGAGCAGGGCAGACACCTGACTGACTGATGTCACTGATGCCAGGACATGGAAATATATTTACTCCATTCCTAAACTGACAGTGACAAAACTAGTTATGTAGAAGTACTGCACATAAATATTCACCCAATAGCCTGCTAATATCACTGACCAGCTTCTGTGCATGGAAGTTCCTGTAACCAGCATCAATTATGTAGCGTAATTTAGTCACAGCTGTATCCAGTATGCGAAATCCACGAGGGTCTTGCATGTAACTATGTAATAATACAATAAAATCATATTTTAATCACTGCGTTTATGGTGAAACTGATTGTGGTCCACTAGCGTGCACGGCCAGTGACATATGACAAGCCATAAGTGTAACAACAGAGAGACAAGGTGAGAAGAGCAGATACCAGGTAAGAGTCGAATCTGCCAGAATTGTCATGTCTTAATAGTAGTAACAGAAGTATGCTTGCAATTGTCCATAACTTGAGCACCTTCAGACAAACAAAAATGACATTTCCTCATCCATGTCATAAAGACTGACACACTGATCCCAGTGCACAGGGCCCTGACAAGTTGAACCTGGCTCAGCTTTTGCCAGTTGTTACAACATCCCCCTTTTTGATTCCAGAAACGCTTGTAGAATGTCACCCCCCTCTCTTGGTCCCCATGCTTCATGTCTGTCTCTACCTTCTCTTATCAGTACAAATTCTTAAAACAGTGGTAACTCGTTTTTCTCTTCTCCATTTGATTTGGCACTATACAAATAAAAATAAATTGAATTAAATTCGATTTCATTTTTTGCAGTGTACTCCATGATAACATAATCCAAGGAATGAGGGACTGGCCTTGTTTTGTAATTACATTTTGGATAATATTATAGATAATATAATAGATAAATGAAAGGTGCTTCAAAAGTAATCATGATATGTTTTGTAATGCTACATGTTGTTAGTGTATTAACTTGGTACAAATGGTAGCACACGTTTCTCTATAGTGAGTTTGCCTTTTCAAAACTGTTCACCCAGTTCACATTACAGACGTGCAGCTCAGCGCAATAGTTAATCTCACATCCAAAATGCACTAATGGTACCAAAATACTGATAACATTTGCCTCCTGGCTAAATGTCAAAAAGTAAGGAACAGAAATAGTTGCAACAGAATGTAACACCACGCAGTGTTGACCAAGTACAATGAAAACTTTCCAGGGTTATATTTGTGCAGTTAGTATAGTATCATAAAGAGACAGTGTTTTGGCGTGTCCTCAGATCCCTGGATCACTTACTCACATCTGCCCTCCTGGGACTCTGTTTAATTGTCATACGCATAAACACTGGTGCAGGTCCATTTTTGGTTAATACCTGCTGTGATGTGTCTGACTGCTACCACTGGAGTGGACAGAAACAGCACTACAGCACAAAAGAAGATTCATTAACAGAGGGAACAGTAGAAGCCGCACTGAAACCCACCCACCTCTGGGAGAGTGGTCGATAGTGTAGTGTGACAGCTGAGATATAAATAAGTTCTTCCTGTAGCCCAGCCTATCAGAGAGGCTGCAGATAACAAGGATGGGATTACACCTACAGGAAGAGAAGCAGATGCACACACACACACATACATACATACAGATGTGTGTGTGCACAATATACAGCTTTGTGGTGACCTGAGCATGATTTAAAGTTATTGGTTGTAGAGTTTGAGAAACACCCTGAGATTTTTGGGACTATATGAGAGAAAGGTGTTGGGAAAAAAAACAAGAATGAGCGAGCGATCGCGTGTGAGCGGAGACAAAGGGAGAAAGTGATAGACAGTGCTTTACACACTGGGGATACTGTATGTCAGCATTGTTTTACAATAAATTATTCAAAAGACATGTTTTTTTAAAGAGTTGGCTGCTGGATTCTGAACCCAGAATACACTGAAGAGAAAGGAAGCATCTGTTTGGGGTTTTTTCTGATTATCTCAGTCAAATTTGTCACAAATGAACTATTTGGAAATAACATTTTGTCACTTAGTTTGGCAGACTGCTTATCTTTTCTCTCCCATCATCAGATGAGGAAACTATATTTGTAGCCCACACTTAAAGCTCAAAGTAAAGTAAAATCCTCAGTATGTCTACTCCATCTAACATTCCATACTGTGATCCAAGCTCCCACTTTGAATGGTTGATCAGAGAGCAGACTCACTGTTATTATTTGCTGCTTGAGCTTCTGGACTTCTGTCAGGTTCATCTCACTGAAGAGGTCTGATGTTGCCACTCCCTCAGCTTTTCGACCTGGTCCTCGACACTCTCCGTTAGCCTTGGGCAGTGACCCTGCAGCTGTCCCCACTCCTGTTTTGCTCTGGAGGTGGCCATTACACCTGAGAGATCACAGCAGAGATCACAGAAATGAACTTTGCTTCATACATACCATGTAGAAAATTTGAGTGAATTAAAACCAGACCAATATACAATACAAAGTCCAACAGTGCAGCCCCTTTACATCTATCACTTACTGTAATATTGTTAGGCCAGAACCAAATTCTATTTATAGGATGCTCATACCTAAATAGTCAAAGTTCAGACCAGTTACATGGTCGAATGGTAATGTTTCTGATGATTTATCTGCAACATAAACACCATCCTGCTGCCACATACTAGAGCACTACATATAAATGAATTCCTTGATTTAAGTAACATTAGCAAAAACAGGTCTCAACTGTTTTATTAAAATACTGAACATTGTTTTAAAATTAAACAATGTTTGTAAGGTGTTTTTAAAGATGTACAATGTTCAGACTACAGGATTTTTTGGCAAATAAGATGATCACTATGTCAGATTACACAATTATAGAGTCATAAATTCTAGCCTGCTGTCATTCACAACATGCACAAAGGAGGTGCAGAGACCGGAGGAACAAAAACACAGAACAGTATCTGAAGCGGTGTGTGTGATAGTGACTGCTTGTTTTCAGAAAGCATAAAAACAGAAGGAAAAAAGAGGGCAGCAGGCTATGGGTTGTCAATCCTTCACAGACAGCCTGAGATAGGGAAGAGGTAGTGGTTAAAAGTAAGATCTTTAAGCCAGCAGTAAAACTGAAAACTAGCTAGCTAGCTAGCCCTGATAGGGTAGCTACTGCACAAGACTGACTGTGTCAATATGCTAACATTAGCTGTATCACTGTGACATTTAATGAATATGATTCAGTCCAATTTGCCACTGGTGTGTTGAACAGCAGATCAATCTGTGATCCTATTGGTCAGCAATATCCACCTTGTTGGCTCTTCTGCATTTGGGGAAAGAAGAGTTGTCGGGGTGGCTGTGCCACTGGGCGGAGCAGAGGTGAACATTAGGTGAGCACTGCCGGTGTAGGCCACGTCACACATGCTGAGGTGGTGGACCAGCTCCCTGCGCAGGTGCTTCTTCTGCTCACGCTCGCTCTTCAGAGACTCCAGAGCTTCCTCCAGCTGGGCATCGGAGATGTCCTTCAAACGCAGCGCATCCTGTAACTGGCTGTTGAGAAGCTCTGTCTCCTCCTCTAGGACCTTGATCTCATGCTTCAGGCCTTCATACTCCACCTGAACCAAGGACAGACATATACACAAATTAAATGAATGCAATCAAGACACAGACCAATCAAACTTGTGATGATATACTGATAGAGATTAAGACCCTCCCTAGCTTCAGCTTTGACAACACAAAGTTGCAACAAAGATTTCTTTGTATATCATATTACCTTTATTTTTTTTTATATTTCTGTAGACTTAATCTGTACCTAAGCCACTAAGTGGATGTGCTGCTGTAGATTATTGTGTTGTTGCTCTGGCCCATTCTCATGAATGTGAAATCTCAGGAACACCTTGAGGGAATTTCTTCAAATTTAGCACAAACATCCATTTGAAGGGATGAAGAATGAGCTGCTTCAATTTTGGTGGACAAAGGTCACTGTATCCTCACATCTGTCCCATTCCCATGAATTTGGCTGGCTGGACGAGGCATATATCGACAAAGGTGGTAACTCTAGTTTGATACTGTCACTGAATGTTGCCAAAATTGACAAATTTTCTACATAGTGGTTTTAAAAAAACGCCCCTGACTTTACCCTTTCATTTGGGTGACAGTATTTTAGAGGAAACACCACAATAACCATTCATTTTTAGCATAAAAATATCTAAATTAAAAAAATACTAACAGGCTAAATTGTTGATAGATGTATAGGTTTCATTGTCATCAGTCCAGTTGAAGTTAAAAATGCAGTCAAACAGTTTTATTAATTTATCAAGAAAAACGTTTTATTGAAAAAAACAACAAAGACGTCACTGAGTGAAATACTTCTTTCCTTTCTGAGGGAGGAGTTATCCTCAAAAGTTTCTCCCAGTGGCCAGAGTAGCGCCTTGCAGGAACAGCACCGCCTCTGAGCTGGTGTGGCAAAGTACTTGTTTGATTGATAAGTGAGCCAGCAGAGGCACAGAGACACAATTAGCCTTTTCTGACCAAGCATTCCAATAACTATGGAACCACAAAAAAACGTAAAACACGTGTCAGTATTTAGTTTTGCTTTATGAAAGTTTTATTTCTCTCCATCACTCATGATGTTTTTTTATTGCCCCACATAGCTCTCGACCACTAATGTGCTCATGCTGTCAGCCTGTTTGTGTTCTCTCTCTTTATGTCAATGTTTTTCAAACTAGTCAGGATGCAAACATAATTTTAAATTTTATATCATCATCAACAACTATTACAATAAATGTCCCTAAGTCATCCTAAATGTGATATTAGTCACGCCTGACACACTGCTGTAGTAGTTGCAAAGTCTGTGTTGACCCCATTCAGCCCTGCATGCTAAAAGCTTGTGAATTTAAGACACTAGGAATTATCAGTGAAGTTGAAGATTAAGGATCACGTCAGCATCCAAACAAAGCAAAAACTGAACTGTTAGACTTTAAAATATATCTAATCGTATGTGTTTGTGACTTATTGTAAATAGCAACCCATACAAATTCCATGACTGGATCACTGTAAAAATCAGATTCATTCGCTACTGCAGGTTCACAGTCTTTATGTCCAAGTGAGTGTGAGTCATCGGTACCTGATTCTGTTTCAGTGTTGACACCAGTTTCTGCAGAGAGATGTTCTCCTCCTCCAGCTCAGTGTAGTCCTGGAGCAGCCGTGACTCTCGAAACTTGTATTCCCTGATTTCCTCTCTCATCCGGCTGCGCTGCAGCTCTAACATCTCATTACTCTGCTGAGACAGTTCAGAAAGAAAGCTGGAGCTGCATGCTGTTTATTGCATGGCTAACCCAAGAAAACTACAGGAAGTAGCAGGAAAGTGACAGGCTTTAACCAGAAAGACTCCACAGAAAACTATGTAGTCAGCTAAAACAGAATACTTCGTGTTTGTTTCAGTGAAGTAACACACACTGCTTACGGCATGAAGGTAGCACCCATTTGGCTCTGTCACATCCCTAACCCTAGCCAGGGTACTGTACCTCCCTGAGCTCCTGCAGCACAGTGCTCAGATGTTCATTGTCGGCCTGGGCACTGGAGGCGACGGCATGGCTGTGCTTCAGATTTGACTGGAGCTCCAGGAGGCGGCTCATGTAGTAGGCCTCCTTAGTGGCAGACTCCTGCAGCAGTGTCTCCTCGTTGGTCTCTCCATCTTCTGCTACCTTACGCTGGGTGGAGTAGGCCTGGCCAAATGCCTGGAATAGGGCAGGACAGGAAGGGGTGAGTTCTCTTTGGTGATGAACCGTTTAATATGTTTATGATGACAAATTGCTACATTGCCATATGGGAGAGTAAATGCTTCAATCCATGAGTTAAAGCACCAGATGAAGTGTCTACCCTTTAAAACAAAACTATTTCCTGTGAGAAAAGATCTAATCATTGTTGAACTTTATGTTTAATCACCTGTGAAGCCCACAAACACAACAAGCTACTGTTTGTACTTTTCAGCTTTTATGAATGCTAGCTCAGGCGGCACAGCTGTGCAGTGGTTTGTGCTGTCGCCTCACAGTAAGAAGGCTCCGAGTTCAAACCCAAACCTACCCCGGGCCTTTCTGCGCAGCATTTGCATGTTCTCCCTGAGCCTGGATGGGTTTCTCTCTGGATACTCTGGCTTCCACCCAAAGACATGCAGTTTAGCTTGACTGGTGACTCTAAATTGCCCATAGGAGTTAATGTGAGTGCATGGGGTTGTTTGTCTACTTGTCAGCCCTGTGATAGACTGGCAAACTGTCCAGGGTGTACCCTGCCTCTCGCCCAATGCCAGCTGGGATTGGCTCCAGCCCCCCATGACCATATTCAGGAGTAAGAGGTATAGCTAATGGATGGATCAAAGATAATGAAAAAATTCATATTTACAGAGCTTAAATTTGGTACTTGACAAATGACTGAACTGCAACAAATCATGTCACAAATCCCCTTGCAATCACTAAATATCCAGATATTAAAACTCATGATGATATTTGTGAGTGGGAAAATCATCTGCATGTGCAGCCCAATTTTGTTCAACCCTACAAAACTGAACACTAAGTGAAGAGAGGCCCCCCCCGAGTTACAGGGAAGTTCAAGAATCAAGAGCAATAGAGAAAGAACATATGGGAAACTCCTTCCTTTAAATCCTTCTGTTATGTGTTTGTCAGAGGAAAGTCCAGTCAGAGTGTGATTTTGCTTGTATGCATGGCTGCAGGAGTCACTCTGCATAGGCATGCAGGATGTAAAGCTGTGCATTTTCCCATAGGGACTGCAGTTTCAAGTGGCCATGGCATGCTCATTTCCAACCATTTAATGTTTAAGCCCCACTGAGTAGTGGAAACATCACTCCCTTTCAAGTAGCTCCAAGGTCGGTAAATCCAACCGGTGGTCACTGAGTCTTCCCCCACACGACCACATACAGTCCCAAAGTAGTAAAATTAATTCCAACAGGCAGCTGTAGCATCCACAATAACATCATAGATCGTTAATCCGCTCATTAACCCGCATGCAGCAGACACACTGGCCTCAAGCCGCCAATACAAACAGGTACTGTGCTCTGGGGGAATCCAGCGTTGATTAGCTGATCATTCACTGCCGCGGGGGACATTACTGGCCAGCTGATCGTAGGTTAGACCCACGCAGGTAAAACAACGAGTCCCTGTACAGGAACATTCCTGGACACGCAGTAACCTCAGGCCCTGTATTTTTCTCCACATCCTCTGGTCACAGTGCAGCAGGAGGAGGTAAAATACAGTCACAAAACCAGGCGCGGTTGAAAAATTCCGCTTTTACAATGGCACCAGTGGATGTCAGGCCAGCTCACATGAACATGTAAATGCCTGGAGATTATGACCATTCAAGGAGATCCTTAAACTATCATAAAATACCTTTCTTTTAAAAAATAAAAAAAAGTCACGTGAGTGAGAGTTTGCGAGACTTGTATAAACCGAGTTGCTTCTGCATAGAAATACTAGAACATACATACACCTCATTTTGTGAGCTTTAGGTCACATCTAAGATGATAATTCACTGTTGTAACATTGTACATGCGTCAAAAGCAAGGAAAAGCATGTCATGGACTCTTTAAGTACAGATTAACTCAGTCAGGTGAGAGTACGAACACTTGGGGCTGTTCTCTCACCTCTGCTCAATGGGCCGCTGATGCATTGAAGAGTGCATACTTGTTGTGCAAAATGTACTCTGAGACGTCCCACAGTCATAGCAATAGTTTGATTCTCCAAATGACAAAAATATGGTGTAGTCTGTTCCCAGATGTTTGTTTACATCAGACATATGACTTTATGGGTGTAATATGTAACTGTTGCATTTACTATTTGTTGTGCTGTCCCAAACAAATCAGTTATTCTATGTTACTACTACTATGTACTATAAAGCTTTTTTTTTTTAAATTGTGTTTCTGTTCAGGGCAGCTCGATATTATTGTCTGGACCTGTCCACAATTGGAGAAAATTCCATTTCTCATCTCAGCTGTAATGCTAAAACAGTTCATTTGAAGGCACCATAAGCATCTGACTGGAAACATTTTAAACCAAAGCAAGCAGTAGTGCAACATGTCAGGGATAGAAGATTTTACCAGTGAACTCCCTCCATAACAGAGGTCACTGGTAATGTGCTATAAGACAGGCAGTGCCACCATGTTTATGGTCACTGCTCCATTATAGTAGTCATTACTTTACACAACACATACAGAACAACAATATGTTCATGTCAACATGTGGCACCATAACAACCATTCAGTAGGCTTGACAAAAAGCATAGGGTGCAGCATGCCATCAGAGTGAAATACGACTGACACATACACATTCAACTGATTCATCAGGGAGAAAGAAAGTATGACAGGGTTATAAATAATATCCTAGACACTAAAGTCCTGTCTGTGGGCTGTTATGGGCCCTGACACTGGGCTGTGGAGGTGAAGGCTCATCTGTCAGTTTCCTGCCGGAAAGAATATAGGAAAGACAGAGAGAGCCATTCTCCTCACACCACTGGAGACAGAGCAGAAACAACTATAAAACACACATATATACACACACACACACATATACACACACCAAGCCTCTCATTTATTACTACCACACCTTGTTGCTTAGTGTCTCCTGTGGGGTTTGTCTCTAGCACATACCAGAAAAACAGGTCTGCATACAAGAGTTAGTTTTTTTTTTTTTTACCTTTACATTGATTATTTTGTCTGTTTTTGTTCAACTAACTAAATCAACAAGAACCCCATGAACATCTCAGTGAGAATTTCTTATGTGGCTCATATCATCACAGCCTTGTTGAACTGAACAACCCTGCTTGGCAGACCTCACTTCTTTTAGTTGATTTCACTGGCCATCTGAACACACTGGATAAAACCTTGCAATGGGAAAGATGAGCTCATTTGATGTGAATCGTCAACTATTTGAGGCAAATCAGTGAAGATGCTGCACACTTCCCAACTCTGCAGTAAATTATCTCCAGTCTCCCAAATGCCAAAAGCTCAGTGAAAATGGGGGAATATAAATGCGTCCGTTCTCACACCACTGATCAGTGACTCCAACCAGAATGTTCAGGGTTTGACCGTTACTGTTAAAGGACATCAACCAACGCTCAAACACTTTTTTGTTAAAGTGGAAGTGTACAGTAGGAGGACAGCAGCTTACTGAAATGCAATGTGATGATGTGATGATGACTGTGAATAGAGGTTAGTTTTGGTTTTAGAGATTTAGTTTTAGTCTCTGTAGTGTCTGGGAGTGTTGAAAACACTGTAAATATAGAAAATGACTGACTTTGTCCTTTAACCAGTATAAGGATGCAAAAATTCCCATTATGTGGATTATATTACTGAAAATGTTTAAGTAGTCTTGCTGCAGCATTCTAGACCTGTTGAAGTTTAAACAGGTTGTGTTACTTGTATTAGTTACAGTCATCTAAACTAGGATATAATAAAAGCATAATGACTGTTCTTTGCAGATAACAAAATCAAATTTTTTAATATTGCAAACTTGCAGGAAGCAGGATTGAACAAATTTGCCCTTAAGGTCAGTATTCAATATTCCTGAATTTTATCTAGCATGTAATAAAAATAAATAAATAAAAACAAATCATTGCGTTTAATTAAAGAATCCACATAAAATGCCATCCTTCCCTACAGATAAAGGCCGTGCTTTATTGCCTTAAGTGAGTCAGCACTTTTATACAGAATGTGAACTTACGTCATGCCATACTGAATGTTGGGATGGGCGCATTGTTGTGGGAGGAGGTGCTGTTATTTACTTGCATACATTCTTGTTTTGTTTGACTAAAAAGTTGCTTAAATCATTTAGATCTCACTTTACTGATTGTGGTAATTCAAAGTGAATAACCTTAGCTGACTGTCGCAAACTGTAGCTAACTCATAGCAGATCTAGAAATTCTGTTGATGAGAGCAACAGATTAATCTCAGCTTTTGGTTCGGGAGCTAACGCTAGCTAGCAGGTGTTGGCAGATAACACAAACACTGCAGATGAATCAATTTCTGCCCTGTCTGTGCTCAAACTAAACAATAAAATGGGAATTTCGATGTAGCTGAAGCATCCACTACTGTATGCTTACAGTAGTGGATGCTGGGAACTATGGGATAGTTTTTTTTTTTTATTAACATGCAGATTTATGTAGTATGTTTGGCATGTTGAACAACCTGAAAATGCAAACATCATCCTGTAATACACAGTCTGAACATCTTAATCTACTAAAATATAAATGTAGCATAAGTGACATCAGCCATAAATTCTTGAATGGATGTTTGGATTTATTTACTGCTCAAAAAGTCAGATTTTGGGAATATAGTGGCTCCTGAGTTAAGGTGAACAGGCAGTAGCCTCCTTAGCATTTTATGATAAAAAAAAACTGTAACTGTTAATCAATGAAAAGCATGTATAGTATCTTAATACCTTAATCTGTTCTAATGGAACAATCATCTTTAGCCACCCTAGCTGTCTGGCCGTACAGCCGGCTCAGTCCTTTAGTCATTCTGCCCACCACTTTAGTCTAGAATAAAATATTTCCATAGAGGATGGGCTTTGCCAGTGTCACTTAGGATAGGCTCCAGCACCCCCTGGGCCCTAACAGATAAGCGATTATTGCTGATGGATGGATGAATCCCACTGGTGATCCATGACCCCCACACAAGTAGGACAGGCCCTGTATGTAGGTCAAGAGTGAAATGAGTACATTTATCTGAGCT